AGTATTGAAATCTGGTCAGATACGGAATAAGGGTACATATAGGATCGAACTTAAATTTAGTGTTGCTCGGTTGGTGCGAAGAGGGAAATTTTATTACATAAGATAATTTTGTTTTCAATATAGAATTTGCAATGTTTCAATATACAGTGTCAATATACAGTCTACTTAAGTTGGAACCATATGGAAAACATTTTTATTATTGATTTTGGGAAAAAAGTTATTCTTGATAAAAAGTCCTGCATGACCCAAAACTTAAAATACAGTCATCAGATATCAAATTTTTCAAGCCGTATACGAGGTTTGTCAAAAAATATGAATTTTGCTCAAGAGTAAAGTACGTTTATTTTTTTACAAAATCGAAAATAAATAAAAATATTCATTTATTAATAGTTGTAGTGCTTCAAAATAGTATGATGCTGATAATAATAACTACACTTAATACAAACTCAAATATTAAAAAAAAAACAGCGATATTGGCTCTTGTACAAAGTTTTGATCCGAACTTACATATAATGAAATTATTGGAAAAAGTGAACACCCATTTTAAATTACCACAATTCCCCGATTATGCCTTGGATCTACCATTTCTGGCAACATACCGTTCATATAAAACTTTTTATAACTTCTCCTCCATATTTTTACACCAGAAATCGTCTCTTTTTACTCTCCTATCTGTATACAGATATAAGGAAAGTATAGGAATCATGATTTTTTTCGACCTCGAGTTTTCGACGGATTTTTACGTTTTGAGGTCCCCTGAATCCGTTTTGACTATTTTCACGATGTGTGTGTGTGTGTGTGTGTGTGTGTGTGTGTGTGTGTGTGTGTGTGTGTGTGTGTGTGTGTGTGTGTGTGTGTGTGTGTGTGTGTGTGTGTGTGTGTGTGTGTGTGTGTGTGTGTGTGTGTGTGTGTGTGTGTGTGTGTGTGTGTGTGTGTGTGTGTGTGTGTGTGTGTGTGTGTGTGTGTGTGTGTGTGTGTGTGTGTGTGTGTGTGTGTGTGTGTGTTGTGTGTGTGTGTGTGTGTGTGTGTGTGTGTGTGTGTGTGTGTGTGTGTGTGTGTGTGTGTTTGTGTGTGTTTGTGTGTGTGTGTGTGTGTGTGTGTGTGTGTCGCATAACTCATGAACCGATACACAGAAAAACACCAAATTTTAAACTTAAGCTTTATTCCAGCGTCTTATAAACTGAATAGATTTTGGGCAGAGTCGGAACATCTGGGGGGGTACTTTATAGGCGGTCATTTTTATATTTTATGGAATATATCTGTTATTTACGTTTGGAGAGGACAATTCTTTAAATAAAAGTTACTTCTAATATAATTACCTATAATTGTTGTTTTTTACAAAATTTTCCTAAAATGGTTCGTATTCGAGAAATTTGACAAAATGTAAAAAAAATATTTTTTTATAAAAATTGTTTAATTAAAAGTTGTTTGTATTATAATTCTCTATAATTTTTGTTCTATACATAATTTCTCTAAAATGGACCGTATTCGAGATATTTGAGAAAATGTGTAAATTTCGAATTTTGAAGAAAACTCAAAAACGAATAATATTATTATCTATAATTTTTGTTTTATGTCAAAATTTCCTGAAATGGTCCGTATTCGAGAAATTTGACAAAATGTGCAAAATTCTGATTTTTATGAAAATTGTTGAACTAAAAGTTGTTTGCGATATCGATCTCTATAATTTTTGTTTATACATGATTTTTCTAAAATGGACCGTAATGGAAAAATTGTAGGAAAAGTCTAAATTTAAATTTTTCAGTATTTTCGTTTTCAATGAATATCTATAGAAAAATGTTTCGAGGTAGATGTATGTGGACAATGTATATATTTAGTTTATCCTCTAAACATTTATAGAGATGCTGCAATAGGTTGCACAAAATAACTGGAAAAAGCCTATAATAACTATATAGATAGGAAAGTCATGTGTTGGACACATCAGATTTTTATTATATATTTCACTTTAAGTGGATAATTGGGACCTGGCCTTACACCAAAAATACATCCTTTTCGTCCTGTAATATATAATTGGCCTTGTATTTGATAATACCCATTGATGGTGGATATTAATGTCAAAATTATTGGCGTCTTTATTAAAAATCCAAAAGGGTATTTTTTTTAACTTAATCGCCTCTTCTACCCGCATTTGATATGCAGCGTATGGACATTTTATTTCAACCACTAATTCATCTCCTACAATGCTGTCTGGAGCATCTACAAATTTAAAAATTATTATTTTGATTTAAAATGAACTAATTTGCAATATGTTATAGTTGAGATGCGAGTAAAAATGTGAACTAATCGTTATGAACCTAAATATGGATATTTTTTGTCAATAAAAATTCCACAATCTCTAATCACAATATTTTCCTTCTCTTGAAGCTGCAAAAGTGCCGTTACTAACATGGATTGATTAGTACGGTTTAAAGTTTTTTTCAATTCTGATTCCCTGATTTCGAATTATATGATACAATTGCTGCAAAACATCTACTTTGGTAAGAGCGCCCTCTGGAATAATTGATTCTTTTGCCACCTACAAACTTAGCGACTGTCGCATGAAATTGTTCCACAATATTACTATCAACATCATGTAATAGACTTCTGCTGTGAGCTGACAAAGCATGTATAATTTGTAGAAGTCATGTAAAAAATTCAGGTTTAGATCTGAAATTGTTTATTTCGTTCTGTATGCTTCTGACAAAAATAAATAACGCAGTTTCTATGATCACCAAAAACGTGAAAACTTGCATTGTCTATGTCTTTCTTTAAAAGCAAAATGTTATTAATAGTGCTAAGACTATTTTCTTTTCTATAAGAAACTGTCTCGTAACAGATGTTCTCAAACGAAGAATGTTTTGACTAACTAATTTTCTTAGTTTTATTAAAAAATTCACAAATAACATGAGAGATTTTAGGCTCAAAATTTTACTAAATACGTTCAAATCTTCAATTCACCGGTATAACTAAATAAATCGCCGATCCATTTCCTATGATAAGGAAAATGTGGCTCGACGACCCGTTCTTGGAATTTTGAAGGTAGGGGTATAATAGGAATAATATGCCGACACATTGGTTCTCATGAACGGAGCAATAACTCTTAACCTATTCTTTTATTCGTACGTTTCCTACAACAGCCGCATGCTACTGCAGGGTGCTGCATAACAATATTATACAATACATATTTTTTATACAGGGTGTTCTAATAGTTATATTACCCTGTATATTTTAAAATCTTATATTTACACACCTAATGTAATGTTATTAAATTACTCAAAAGTCACTAAAGAAATGCAAGGTCATCTTTTTGAAAATTTCTAAACATAATTTTTTTATGGTTGGCTGAATGGCTCACCTTGTTTAGAAATATATTAACTCAATGAAATAATTTATCTGAGGTGTAACTGTAGTTATTAAGTGTTTGCAAACATATATTGTGATTTATTCGTAAAGCACGCTGTAACAATTATTTTAAACCAGTGACGGCTTGTCTCCAAAATATTGGGGGTTCACAATGACAGAATATAAATTTCAATACAGATGTAGGTAAAAAACTTTCAGAGTTTTCGGTATATTATAACTTTCTATGCCTATAACTTTCTAAAACACTGAAAGTTTTTTACCCACATCTGTATTGAGATTTATATTCTGTCATTGTGAACCCCCAATATTTTGGAGACAAGCCGCCACTGGTTTAAACTATCCCTTGTATTGAACATTTCAGCAAAAATTATATTAAACTTATATATTTTACATAGAGACAATCTAGCTTTTCAGTTTGAAGAAAAAATAAAGTAAAATCAACAATTCTCCACTTCATCGCCCTGTATTTCGAAAACTGGTCACGTAGTACCAGCTTTTAAAATTTATAACTTTTAAAACGGTGTTAAAGTTATTATATACTAATAAAATGGTTACAATGGTTATAATTTTATTATCAAACACTCAATGATACATAATCAAATTCGTATAATTAAAACACATCTATAAACCTTATTCATTAAATAAAGTGTATTTATTTACCTATTGCAGAAGAAGAAAGTGTTAAAATCCCAACTGGTTTCTTATTTCTTTTACAAAAATTGAATAAACTTATCAACCAATTACCATATCGTACAAAACAACACTACAAAACATTCAAGCATATACATACATTATCCGATTAGGTAACCAATATAAGTAAAAAATGCCGCGTCCTCCTTGCTCAATATACACTTTACAAAATGCAAAATGGCGATAGGTTAATGTTAACGTAAAACACAGTGCCCAGCGCAGAACAGAATTGTAAAATCATTTACCAATCCACCAGTCGTTAGGAGTTGACAAATCACATGATTAATCAATACTAATCATTAATGGCTACATACTCTCAACTGAGGTACAGTAGTGCCACCAATTTGCATGTCCCATGAACATATCCTGAAAGTTCTAAATTCTCGTACTAATGTCTTAATTAATATTTTTATAAGTTTCAAAAAGTTGAATCTATGGGATTTAAAAAAATGTAACAACTGCTTTGCTTTTCAACATTTTTAATATAATTATTAACGTTTATATAAAACGAAATATTTTGTATCAAAAAAACCGTAAACTGACGTTATAAAGCAGACGACATATAAACGTTTTAAAAATCACGAACTAAAGATGTAATTTTTTGTTATAATTGCCATTTATCATCTTTAAGGTGCAACAAATTTACTTTGTTCGTCTTACTGATATTAGTCTGCTAGGTGGGTGCCACAACGCGTTTACCAACTTCAACTCATATTTTGGGCTTTAAAGTAAACATTATTTATATTTTATGACTCCTTGCATTGCTTTTTTATTAATCTCCTATTCACGCTGTAATCTGCCCTAGGGCAGTATAAATAAATCACAGTGAACCTTCCTACTTAGAAATAATACAAATAACCTACACTATGATTTGTCGTTTTTTATTGTTTTAACAATTATTGGTTCTACTTTTCCATGTACAATCATTTACTTGAGTTACTTTTTAGGCAGCTGGATTAGACAAACAAGAAATAGCTGAATATATCATAAAAGAATACCCGGAAAGTGTTCAAGCCGTAGACAGTGAAGGACGGACTCCACTGCACTATGCTGCTTTACTAAAAGATGATGGCAAAATGACAAATTTTCTAATTGAAAAGGGAGTAGACGAATCAGCATTAGATAATGTAAGAAACTGACAATATTTTACTTTTTTAAATATATTGATTTTAAAAAAATGTCATTAGAGTACTTTTTTAACACGAGTTAGTTCTGATTTTTCCGCAAGAGGCGCTGCAGAGGGCCAACTATTAACAAAGATTTCTCGAGTTTTGCGTTAATAATTTTTTTCATGTTTTTTTTTTTTTATTTTGATTCATTTATATTATTATAGAAAATAAAGTGTGTACAACTCATGTATAGAGCGGTTTTTTAACCATACCATTGACCAATATTTCAGTCAAAGCTTCAGGATCTCAAAATATTTAAATACCAATGGGTCATATGTTATTTACTTTTAAGATAAAGGATGTTAAATAAAAAAATTATTTTTCGTGCAATATTTTATAAGCCGCGTGTTCGAATCTTTTCAAATTCATTTAAGTTTTCATGTTTTCTTTGGTTTGTTTTTACCTTTAGTTTTTTTTATCCAATGGACGTCCAGTGGGGTATAGAAATGGCACACTTTTGATCTTTTAAATGAAGTTACATTCTGGTTTATATTCGAAAAATACCCATCCAGGACCAATGAACGTCCACTGAACATTTTTCATAGGATACTGGACATTCAAAAATGTCCCTTTCTGGATCATATTTCATTGCATTACTTGAGACCACCACTATTATTAATTTATTTCATTAATTTCGCAACTCTCCGTACATCATTATTATTTATTGAATCAAAAATCACTTGACCTGAGCGGGAAACGAATTCACGATACTGCTGATAACGTTCTACGTCTTTAGTCACTCTACGACCTCAACCACTGAGACAATTAAGAATTTGCTGCTAGTTATGATTCTAATAAATAATAAGATTTCGAACTTCCGCTGATTGAATGAAACGCAGTAGACTAAATTTTTTAATTTTTAATAACCAATTATATTCAAATATTATCTGGTAAGCTAAAGAAAACTATTTTCCTTTCGATACAATTTAATTTCTGTTACGGTATAAGAAGGAGTAGTTGTTTTCCTGGGGGAAAAGGTCGCTCGTATTATGTGACACCGACATTGAGTTAATTTTTATTTTCTGTTTTAGTTTACGTCTTAGTCGCTTTTGAGTTGGAACTATTTCCTTTTTTAAATAAATAATGACCTATGATGGACGTCTACTTGACATTAAAATACTACTTAACTTAAAATTAAGTCCAAAAGCGGACGCCCACTGGGTATTGATCTGTATCTGTAGCGTATGGAGGGTGGGTTAACCCACAGCACTTAGGCCTCACTAGGCCAATTGTGCATCTTCCTAGCTCGTGAGCCAGTCTACACATTTAATGTAGTTGACAACGTCGCCAAGAGGTGCTTCTCTTATATCGGCCGGTGTAAGCCAATTATCGCCAAACACACATATTCTAGCAAATAAGAGTATCGGGCAATCGTAGAGGATATGCTCGATGGTCTCATTTTCTTGTTTACACCCCCTGCAGAGTGCCAATTTTGACACGGCCATGATATGAAAAAGCTTCCGTACTTGGCAATAACCAGTCAGAATGCCTGTGATCTGGCGCATATTCTGTCTAGTCATAGTCAAGTATTTGTTTACTGTAATGTTGTCAGGATAACTTAAAACCTCCCTGGTAAGTCTGCAGCTTCTTGTTTCATCCCATCCTTCCTTGAATTTTACAAGGAAATGTTATTTAATTGACAGTCCAATAGAAGGGCCAGGTCTAAAAAGTATTTGTTTGGCTGCCTTTCTGGCTAGTGAATCAGCATGATGGCTACCTTTCGATGTGGCGTGACCTTTGATCCTTTTTAAGGTATACATTGTTGATGGATACTTCGTCCAAAGCTTCGTAACATTCTAGTACTAACCCTGAGTAAATTCGTGGTCGGTCCAGGGTGAGTAGTGCTTGTCTGCTTTCTGTATAGATGAGCATATTTCTTCCAGTGATATTATTTTTGGTGATTTATTTTCCTACTATGAGAATCTCCTTGTGCTCGGTTTGTACTACACTGACACTATTGCTCACAGCTCATTTTAGGTTTAGGTTTAAGGATCTGGAGTATATTCCACAATCTACGCCTTGTTTTGTTTCAAACCGTCAGTGTAGATATGAATCGTACCTACCACTTTCGGATCTTTCATTTGTTTTCTTATAACTTTATATGGCTTATGGAAGATTTATCTCGGTGAGAGTCCGTGTTGTCCTGAAGCAGTGGAAGCGTATCAAGTGCCTCCTGCCTAAAGCGACGTTTTGCTCACCAGATCCTACATCCATGCGAAGGCATGTCATTGAAACCAGAGCAACCTTCTTGATGTACATGTAAAGAGGAGTGAGACTAAGAATGACTTCCATGGCTTTGGTCAGTGTGGTTTTTATGGCTCCTGTTATGTTGAGACGTGCTGTTCTTTATATTTATTTTAGTTTACGGATAGCTGTCCATGTGACGACTTTGGGAGAGAGACCCCAGGTGCGCCCCACGGTTCGACGGCATTGTTCATAAGCAATATATACTTTTTTACTTTGTTTTCTAGGTGTGAGTTCCATGTTAACTTGCTGTTAAAGGTGAGACCTAGATACTTCACTTCTGTTGCAAAGTTTAGTTTTGTGTTTAGAAGCTATGGAGGTTTTAATTCCATTTTCATTTTTTCTTGAGAAAAAGACCATTTCTGTCTTCTTGGAATTAATAGACAATGAATGTTTCCTGCACCACTGTTCTATACTTTTGAGAGAGCTACTAGAATTCTTTCGCAGAGTATGTTAATACAATTCTCGTTTACAGAAATACCAGATCATCTACATACGCTATTGCGTCATTATTGAGGCGGCTAATGAGGGTGTCGAAGACCATGTAGAAGTGATAGCACCCCTCCCTGTAGGCATAGCCTCGCAGCCTAGACTCTTATATTCACATCTTTTACACTTATGTTTATTATTGCTCGCTTTGAGAGCATGTTATGTATCCACCCACTAACCATCTCTAAAAAATTCCGTTTGTTTAGTGAGTGTATTATATTGGGAAAGGTAGTCTTATGAAAAGCGCCTTTTTTATCTATGAAAATACCCGCATTTAGAAAAGTCCGTATCTGGCGGATCAGCCATATTGGGTTGACAACATCCACGCCAAGTGATACCGTTTTAAATGTTTGAAAAATATACTTATAGCATCTCCCTACCTTATAACTCTATGGTCATCACCTATAAGTCTTCATAATAGCGTTTTACAATTTTACAATTTTCATTACAGAAACAAAAAACAGCTGCTTACTACAAAACAAGACACTCAGAAATTGATTCCAAACTGTTAAATGTAATTCCTGATTGTCCAAGATCAGCAAAAGAAAATTTGGCAGCTAACTTTGATTGGAACATGTTAACGTCATCTCCTTCTTTGAACTGGATTCAAAATGGTGCTAAAAAAGTTGAACAACTTGTTGACAGCAATAAAGAAAATAGCGAAGAAATTGAAAATAAAAATAACGAAGCAGAACAACATGTAGAAAACATAAGTGAAGAATCAGGTAAGAAAGGTATACATATTTAAAAAGGGACGCGGAATTTTGTTCGAAAATTGTTTTAGGAAAAACATATGATCTAAAACATTTCATGATCTCAAATGATTGAATCTAAATGTAAAATATATTAAGTAAATAAAAAAATTATCTTAGTATTCTGATTTTTGTTTTACATAAAATGAGGAAACAAAACTTAACCAATTTACCTAACCTACACGGCCTGGAAATATCGCGAGTAAGTTCGAAAACATTCTTTACATAAAATGAGAAAAATTTCAACTAATATACTTAACCTGCATGTCCTGGGGCCATCGCGAGTAGCTTCGCAATAATTTTTTATATAAAATAAGAGAAATTAAAAAAACTAAACAACTAATTTACCTAACCTGTGCGGCCTAGAAGCATTAAAACTTTTTTAAACCAACTTTGACAAAAATTAAATTTGCATCCAATAAAAAATAATATTCATCTTTTTTTCAATTAGTTTTATTTCAATAAACATTTCACAAATCAAACGGAGCAATTTTTTAAGTACATTATATCAAAAGCAATCTTTTCCTACAATTTTGACTTGTAGACACGTACCTTAGTGTGTATAAATAATTAATAAAAATAAGCGAGTACTTTTGGGTTTAAAAAGTCATAATCGAAATTCACCAAATTTGTCTAGGAATGATATTTTTTTAAATTGGATATTTCAACAAAATGTGTTCGAACTAAATAATTTTCAAACAAAATGTTTTCGAACAAAATTCCTTCGATAAAAAAGATTCGAACAAAAATTCCGAAATCCATTTAAAAAATATAATAATAAAAATTATTTATTTTAAGCTGGAAATGAAACTCACATTAATGGAACCAAGAAAGAGTCACAAGAAAGCCCCGAAGAACCTCAAGAAACTTCAAATGAACCAATACCACCAGAAAATAATTCACCTGAAGAAACCCTAAAGGAACCAGAAGAACATTTTGGAGATAATAACAAATCTGATGAAACAGCAGACAAAACTGATCTAGAACCTACAGAAGAACCTTCAGAAGAACCTACAGAAGAACCTACAGAAGAATCTACAGAAGAACCTACAGAACCAAAAGGAACTTCTGAAATAGATGAAACAACAGACAACAATAATAATAACGATACAGAGGACCAAGAAAAACTTCACGAACAAAAAGAAGTTAAAGAGACCCCTGGAGAATTATCTGAATCAAGACCTGTCAGTAATACATCACGTCCTGGTAGTACAAATCTAGCAAATACAAGCAGACCAACTAGTCAAATCAAGCAAGATTTTAACTCTAGACCCGCTAGTAAAACGCAAGACAATTCTAGACCAACTAGCAAAACGCAGGACCATTCTAGACCAACTAGCAACATGAAAGATCCTATAGAAGATGGCGAAGGTATAATAGAAGGAATAGTCAACGGTGAAAACGAGGTAGAAGCTATGAACAATGAAGGTATGAATGCACCTAGAACCTCTGATAAAGATGACGATGTAAAAGTTTTAGTAGAAGCTGGAAATATGGAACAACTAGCTGCAATGGTGCTAAATGGAGAAGGAGAAAGACTAATTGGGATGAATAGTGATAATCCGGAGTTGCAGACATTTCTAGAGAATGTGCCGACTTATATGGTAAGAAAAATTCCATTCATGTAATTATGGAGTGAGACACAAAAAATGTTTATAAAGTAAGCATTGGTAAAATTCACGTATGTCGAAGCGTACAATTCTTGTTCTTTTTCAGTGTCTGTTTCGATTTAATTTATAGCTGCGCCAAATTATCACGAACATGATTCGTATCTCTGTCTTTGTCAGCCATGGCTTATTTTAAAAATATTTTGTGTGAATCGCTCTTTACATAGTGATTGGACAAGGTTAGATACGTTGCTATAAGATCTGTTCTTTTTTCGCTGAGCCTATCTAGTAGGAGTTGATTTTTTTTGCAACAAATGTTGTCAAATATTTCAATCTATTTGTTTGTTTGCAAGTTTAGTAAGTGACACTTGTCAAATATACCCGATTTTTTGTTCCTTTCGCCAATAATTGATTGAAATGAACAAGAAGCATTATCGGGCTGTGATTTTTTTTTTTTAATTTCGATCGTAGCTTAAACCGTTAAAAATGTTTTAAGGAAATAAATCTAGTGATTGGTAACAAGTCGTGTTCCTTCGCCACCATAAAGCGGTAGTACAATGAATTTCAACTCACCTGACCTTCCTTAAATGACAGTTTTCGAGATACTAAGAGAAAACCGACAATTACAAAAAAAATATTATTCTTATTCGGATCGTTACTATCAGTCACATTCAAACAACTTTAAAGATTAGTATGAAAGTATTTAATACTATTTTACACATTTCAAAGTCCGTGAACTTTGTTCATGGTAGATACCCCACAAAGTGTAGAAGATGTGACTATAAGAGGCTTGGTTGCGAGGGGATGTCCACAGTGAGGGGTGCTATCATCTCTACTGTGGAATATGGTCCTCAACACACTCATCAGCCGCCTCAATAATGACAGTCACTACACAATAGCATATGCAGATGACCTGGTCATACTCTGCGAAAGAATGCAAGTAGCTCTAAAAATTATAGAACAGTGGTGCAAGGACCATTCACTATCTGTCAATCCTAAGAAGACAGAAATGCTCCTTTTCACAAGGAAAAGGATGAAAATGGAATTAAAACCTCCAGAACTCCTAAACACAAAACTAAACTTTGCAACAGAGGTGAAGTACCTAGGTCTCACCTTTGACAGCAAGTTAAGATGGAACTCCCACTAAGAAAATAGAGTTAAAAGAGCATACATTGCTTATGAACAATGCCGCCGAACCGTGGGGCACACCTGGAGTTTCTCCACCAGAGTAGTCGCATGGACTTACACGGCTATCATAAGACCTATGATGCAGTTGTCTGGGTACCAAAAATTCAAAAATTAATAGCAATCCGTAAACTAGAACAAATTCAAAAATTAATAGCAATCCGTAAACTAGAACAAATTCAACTCCCCTTGATATTTACATCAAGGAGGTTGCTCTGACGACAATGACATGCCTCCGCACGGTTGGAATAGAACCTGATGTAGGATCTGGTGAGGTGAGATGTCGCTTTTGGCAGGAGGCGCTCGATACGCTCCCACTGCTTCAAGCGAACATGGACTTCATCTCACCGAGATATATCTTCTATAAGCCATATAAAGTTATAATAGAACAAATAGAAGGGCCAGAAGTGGCAGGTACGATTCATATCTACACCGACGGTTCTAAAAAAAACAAGGCTCAGGATGTGGAATATACTACAGGTTCTTAAAGCTAAACATAAAATGGGCTGTGAGCAATAGTGCCAGTGCAGTTCAAACAGGTCTAACGGAGATTTTTAATAGCAGCAAAAGAAATAACCAGAAACAATTTCACTGGAAGAAATATGCTCATCTATACATATAGCAGATAAGCACTACTCACCCTGAACAGACCACAAATTTACTCAGGGTTAGTACTAGAATGTCACGAAGCTTTGGCCGAAGTATCCATCAACAATGTGGTTACCTTAAGATGGATCAAAGGTCACGCCACATCGAAAGGAAACCGTCTTGCTGATTTACTAGCCAAGAAAGCAGCCAACAAAATATTTTTTTGACCTGGCTCTTCTATTGGTATTCAAGTAAAGATAGGATAAAACAAGAAACTGCAGAGTTGCCAGGGAGCTCTTAAGTTATCTTGACGAGCTAGGAGATGCCTATCATCTTAGGAGGATGCACAATGGGCCCAATGAGGCCTACGTGCCGTGGGGGTAACCCACCCTCCACACGTAACAGATACATATACCCCACAACTTGACATAAAAATGAGACCGTGGATCGCCTAATTTGGTGTACATCATCACAGGTAATGAAAAATGTGTTTACTGCTATAATCCTGAAAAAAGGCAATAATCATCAGTTTGGCATTTGAGAATAAATCGGCTCCAACAAAAGCTGAAACAAAAAAATGAGTTCCACTGTAGCACGGGAGGATAGATGTATTGTTAATTCAGAATGGTACACTACAGTTTATTTGCTTCCGGTTCTCTAAATGGTTCGCAAAAAAATGTTCAAGACGAAAGATCATCTTGCAACAAGATGACGTTCGGGCTGACACTGCTGCTCGAACAAATGAGTATTTGAATGCACAAAACATAAAAATAATAGGTCATTCGCCATAAAGACTAGACCCAACACCTAATTACTTCTTATTTCGGCAGCTAAAGGATACATTACGGGATTTACGTTTTACATTGGTCGAAAAAGCGGTTGATGAATTTAAAAATGAAATAAACTACGGCTAGAAGATTGAAGACAATATTTTCAAGAATGGTTTTCGCGGATGCAAAAATATATTGACTGTGGAAGAGGGTATTTTTAAAAATTATAAATAGATGTTTTCTTTTAAATAAACTATATTTTACTTTACTAGACTCAACGGAAATTGAACAGCCCTCGTAAAATAGTTTAATCGCTTAATCGGGTTTTAACATGGTTAATTTCATCAGAATGCAGCACAAACTCGAGTTATTTGGTATTCAAGGAAAATTATTGTCATGGATTCACAATTATCTAGGAAATAGGAGCTTTCGAATCAAAGTTGGTCAGTCCTACAGATCAGATAGATTAGTGACAAGTGATGTCCCCCAAAGCTTGATACTGGGTGCCCTATTTTTGTACCTTATTCGAGTGATCTACCTTACCATATTCAGTCTTAAAGACACATAATAATAATTTTATTTAAATATTCCACACGTTAACATAAAAAGAATCAACTCCTTCCTACTAACTTGTCAGCTAACTTCAATAAGAATATTATAGTAAAGAAAATAGTTATATTACTAATAAATAATTTCATTTCAGTCGAAAATCCACAGAATCCACGAGGCAGCAAGAAGTGGAAATTTAAGAGAACTACAAGCAGCTTTAGATAGGCGCAAGTTTGCTATAGCCAAAGACACAATATCGCCCAAGGGTAAATTATTATAATAATTTATTATTTATATAAAACATATGTATTACAACAAACCACGATGGAACGATTGATTAGACTAATATGGATCAATTATTATTATATTTAGAGGAATAGCTGCCCACTAATATGCCAAAATACTAAAGTGCGTCTTTAAATTCCAGGCAACAATCTTCATCCTCGGAATTAAAAGACACTTTAGTTTTGTGATATTTAGGTTATTTTATCCTCAGTTAAAATCTCGCTAAACGATCAAATTATTTCACTTTAAACGTTTGTCCCGCAGAGATTATGGAAAAGTACCATCCTCGATAACATACATTTAGTATTTATTTATTCATCTATTACATAGCTGCCTATGAAATTTCACCTAATAACTTGAGTTTCATTTTAAAATTAAACAAACCTGCCAAGGGAAAATACAGTATGCAACAATTTTTCTCCAGTAATTATATTTTGCTACCTACATGGCAGTGAAATAAGCATATACAGTAGAGTTTCAATGATAGGAATAATAATAATAATAATAATCACAGGACTTTATTCATCACTTAAAAAGGAAAATATACAATAACAATAATCGATGCGAGAAAAAAAAATATGTAAAAAAATGATGAAAAGACGAATCTCAGTTTTCACTGCTTTTTAATTTAACCAACCAAAAAAATACATATTTAAATTTGAAATCATAGAAAAGATAAATAAAAAAACATACGTGATCGCTTTTACCGCATCGGAAACATATCCCTTTCAAGTCTCTTATTGTTATCGGAGGTGATAATGAAGTGGACGGTCGTGAGGATGCGGGACGTGGATAGTTGAGTTTCTGTGCCGAGCTCGAAATTTTGTGTACTGTGTCAAAATGTTTGTATAAGTCTTCGGATATTTTAATATTTTCAGATTTTCCCATTTCTATCGACGTAGCAGTTTTGGAATAGCGCATTCGACTGGAACACTCTTTCTTGTTGCCAGAGCAGTGTTAGTTCTGCACTCATTTCCGGCAGCATTTTTATAATTTGAAATTATATCAAGCAATGCTCTGAGTGCGAACCAGTTCGTGTATCATTTTATCCTTATTTGACTGGTACAGTGGACATTTCCAGTTTCTAACATAATTTGTGTTTTTAAGAGTAGTAGCTACTTAAGGGTGGGCTTCCACCTGGATTTAAATCTTTTTTATAGAAGTCTGAATTTTGAAATTTGGTATATAAACATTCTGTTCTGTTCCCGCGCCTTTTAAGATTTATTTATATATTTTTTTTTTATTATCTATTTTCATTTGGGCTCACAATATTAATTATTTATATTTATTAATTGCGTTTTTATATATAACCACTTTACGTTTGGTAATATCAATATTTAATATATTTAATAATTTTCATTATGTTTATAATTAATTATTATAAAGGTTTGCTTTCTTCAACTATATATTTACCCATTCCTACATATTCCGATATTTAATCGCCTTCCTTCTGAACTTTGAACCATTTCTTTTGGCTTTTCGCCGTTTCTTCGAATTGTCAAAGCCGCAACTACAGAGAGAACGAAAACGAACAGCGGGCTCGAAACATCGAACCATCGAAACACCGTACTCGGAATTTTTGTTAATAATTCAAAGCCGGCAAACCCGTGAACGAAAGAAATTTATATTTTTTCGTGTTACGAATTGTGTTGCGCCTCGCATTGCGCGAGTTGAAGAAAACCTGCATCCCCGGATAAAGAAGACAATTGACCTTCCCTCCTATTCTGGTAAGTTAAGTAAACCTTTAATTTCTTTTTGTAGAACCTTGATTTCATTCTTGTTCAGCAGATATATGCAAATAATTTAATTAACACTAAAAAGTGGATCCTTTATGAACTCAACGTCCCTATTAAATACAGTCCGGAACTATTGGAAAAATAATTAATTATTCCTGTAAAGTTTATTAAGGTGAAGATAACTTATAACTTCACCAAATAAGCTAGTTCCATTGCACATTCCATATGCACTTTTGTTCATTCTGAAATTTCTTTTCAACTGTAAAAGGTTTACAATCTTTTTTTAATAATATACATATAAAAGTAATAATTTGCTTCTTTTATAGAACATTTTTCCACAACTTATCCTAAATTCTTTGTCAATTTTTGTTTTCAAAATTCTATACAACTCTATTATCTATATCATGGCTAATATCTTCATCTTCACTATTACTGGATAATAATAAAGACGAAGGTAACATATTTTGAAAACAAAACCTAACCTCTAAATCGGTACTGGCTGGCACTGAAAGAAAGCACAGTTCCAAAAAATTCAAAATTTGAGCAAGCGCTTCTACCAGTCGAACAAAAATATGATTGTGTCCTCGTGCCGGGCAATTCCAGCCGAATGCAATAATTGGTTCAGTTCTGCCAGTCGAATGTATGACACTTAAAAAAGTCGAACTAAATGTGCACCAGTGCGACCAGTCGAATGCGCTATAAATAATTGTGATGTATCTCGTTCTTGAATAATTTTTGTTCGTATATCGCTTTCCTTCAATCCTCGAATAAATTGAAAAGAGAGGAAACTGTCTAAGGTAGATTTTTGACAATTTGGGCACTTGAATTCATAGTTCAGTGAAAGTTTCTTCAGTTCTGAGGCGTATGTTGCTACTGTTTCATCTTCGTATCGTAAACGTGTGATAAATTTGTGTTGTAACGCCCATATGCTAGGTTTTGGATCTACGTAGTCGTCTAGTACTTTCGTTCGTTTTTTAAAATTCATATTAAGCCTAGCTTCTGGAGAGCACAAATTATGTAATATCTCGTGCAATTCTGGGAGTAGAGCAGTAAGTAATATATACACCTTTATTTTAGCGTCTTCGATCTTGTTCAGGAGGAAAAATTTCTAAAATGTTTCTGTTTCTTGAAAAGTTCATTTTTGGGCCTCGCTCTGGCTGTATAGGTATATTAGTCTGTAACTGTGATGTGGTTGGTTGTATAGGTGGACTATTTCTGTACTGTAATACAAGAAGTTTCGTTTTTATGATTGTACATCGTTCTTCAAAATCGAATCTTGTTTGTTGTGCTGTAAATCTTGTAATTTCTATAATGTTTCTTGAAGTGATTGAAGTCTTGTTTTCTATCTTTATATGATATTATTTCTTGAGTGTTTACGTAGTTTTCTAGTTGTGCAACTAAGCCTTGTAATGGGGTGCGGGTTTTCCTTAGTTTTTTAATATCAATAGTGGGCATCTCGTCGCCAATTTATTACATATACATTAAACATTAAACATAAAATATTATTTATTGTAAAAATTATTTTAACATTAATTCTAACGTCGCGTCAGTCCGACAGCTTCTATATCCGTTACATGATCCGTTACCGTGATGGCCAGTACATGACAAGACTATTATAAGTATATAAATTCTTAAAGTTTATTTTATGTTATTCTATTGTAATCACATACTTTGATTACTATACGGTGCAAGAGAGAGGTCCGACACACCCAACATAGGGCGCGGCCATTTTGATTCCTATGCCAGTTTGTAGCTAAAGAATCAGATCGCTCACTTTGCGTTAGCACTTTTGATTTCAATGTTCCAGTTTATACACTGCGCAACTCGGATAATACAATATATGATAACCGCCCATAATAAAACAGCAGTCTTCTGTGTATCCTGAATTTGTATCCCGGGAATGGATGTTATTTTGGAACTTTCAACTGGTCCGAGTGAGCTAACTGATTCTTTAGCAATAAACTGTGACTCCAAAAATAATATTCACTGACACTGACAGCAGCAAGCAAAATATCAGGTGCGTTTTAATGATCCGCTTCTGCTTCCGGGATTGTCGGCTTAGTCGTTTTAACCTGTCAGATTAAAACAAGAAAACCGACAATTCCGAAGCAGAAGTGGATGATTAAAACGCACCTATTAAAAATATTGCGCCAAGATGTAGGCAATACGTAATAAGGGATCAAAATGGCGGAGTTTTCTATCTCCTTTTAAAAGGCACTCAGAAAGCTGCGTAGTGCGACCATTCTCCGTATAGTAAAAGAAAATAAAAGTATGTGATTGTAATGCATAATAATTAACTGACCTCTGACTGACATACTAGATTGAGATTATGATTTTTACTCTAAGTGATAGAGCGCGTTTGAGATGTTACTACATTCGCTCCACATACTTTGATTTTCTTTTACTATACGGAGAATGGTCGCTCTGCGCAGCTTTCTGAGTGCCTTTTAAAAGAAGACTGAGTTGCGCAGTGTATAAACTGGAACATTGAGATCAAAAGTGCCGACGCAGAGTGAGCGAACTGATTCTTTAGCTATAAACTGTGACCATACTAGTTTATTTAAACATGATGTAAATAACAAGGTATATTATTACGCATCTGGAAAATCCGAATATATATCAAGTTCAGTGGTATCAAGCTAACAGAGCACCAAATTTTAAAGTGAAACATAATTTTAGGCGCATTTTAAGCTATTTTAAACCAACGTTTAAAAAATTCCCTTCGTTTATTTATTTGCTATAGTTAGAGACACACTTTACATAATTTAAATAATAGGCAACACATTTTTAATGGGAGACCGGCACACTATATTGCCGTCTTTTCGATAGCTGTGACAGGGTTGGCTCAGTAGCAGTCAATGTTATTATAGCATGTATATTCTTGATTGCATATATGAGGAGCGTTTGTCCTTCTTGGTGTCTAATTGAACGGCTTTCTACCGAAAGGAAGCAACCAAGAATTTTTTTGTGATTTTTAGATTTTCGCATATTGCATTAAGAACTGTAACCTTTACTAGAAAAAAAAAAAAAAGATCCAAGTCACATTCTGGTACCTAGGGTTATTTGATAGCCGACTAAATTTGTTAAGCAAGTAACCTGCCTGCAGAAGCAATCCAAGCGGCTTGATTGCTTTCTGCATAATAGAGAAGAGAGTTGGTGACAGTTGGTTATTTGGTTCCCTGTGAGAGTGAGTATGAAGTATAAAAAATATGAAAACGAATATTTTTATGATACAATATGAATGACAATATTAGCATATCTCAAAGAATTCTGATGATAAAAGCTATTGGATAGGAGAAGGAAAGCCCAAGCTAAATAGAAAAATGGATGTTGGAATAAAAAAGCTGTTTAATAACACGTAAGATACTTCTTGAAACCTTTTTCAATTTTTCTGAAGAAATAGATTTTGAAGATAACACGTATGCTGAAATAGATATCAGAAAAACAAATGGGTTATTCGGCATTATTTAAAGACATAATACCACTGTGGCTTGAAAGAAAAAAGCAGAAAATCCAAAGATAGAGAACAAAAATCTGTGATGCACTTAATTTCGAACGATTGCATGCAACTTTATGAGCATACGTACAGACATCGACGACAATGTGGATGTATTCAGTGGGGCACCTGATTTTAAACTGAAACCTATGATGGTAGAATAAATTAAAAATTCAATATGTAATTTTTACCTACTTCCTTTAACTATAAAGTATCTTTAACCAAACAGTGCTAACATTTATTTTATAGAAAGGAGCCGAACTACAAAAATCAAGTAAAATCTCCTTTTTTACATTTTTAATTTGGCTTAGACATTAGGCATACGTTCAGCCGCCGATCTTCAGCAGCAGAATGTATGTTGCAGACAAATCCTATAATCTCTTACGAGCAATTTGTTAACACTAATATGGCTGCCTTTCAACAACGTGTCTATAAAAACTAAAAATTATTTTAGTGTTAAAAAAAAATAAAGGCAATTCATGAAACTCAGGTAATAGTCTACAAATATTGTTAAATGGTTGTGGAAAAGGAACGTTTAACATAACTTTACATCGGTTCAGATTTTCTAAAAGAAAATAATACATCTTTTTATTTACATCATGGTCCTGGTGAAGATTTGTTCGTTCAAATTAAAATTATATGACTGGTCAAATTTAAATGGCAATGAAAGTTTAACACGTACAAGTTTGATTAAAATGAAGCTACTAAAAAGCAATGATTGGTTGTGGAGACAAAACAAGGAAATAGATAAAAGTTTGTGCGTTATTTAAGACAATTTTTTTAGAGAAATAGTCAATATTTGGTCTTGTGAAATAGTCGTTCCAAATATAACACGACCCTGATTAATATTCTGCTATTTTTGTTGTTGCTAAATTTCGCGCACATTCTACAATTTCATTCTACATAATTTTGGCATTAATAATCAATTGATTAAAGCCTTCGAGCTAAAGCTCTCAGGCTCTAATCAGATTATTAATGCCAAAAATTATGTCTCATCAAATTGATATTAAAATATTCTCGAGTATTTAGATTCAACAAAAATAGCTGACTATTATCAAGGTTTTGGTATATTACCCTTGAATAAATATCACAACTTCTCAGTTGGTCCTCATCAATTTCGAAAGCTATCGTAAACAAAATGGAGAATGAATTCAGAAAAGCAAACCATATAGTAGACCTCCGTAAAAGTAGTAGAAAAAATAGCAGATAACAAGAAACTAAGGCATGTAAAGTTAGCACAACGATCTTAGCACAATCAATCAAAACTTTATCTATAATTATGTGCGAATTATGTGCAATTTTTATGCGCTATTCAAGATTTTTGTGCATTTATAGTTTTTTTGTAATTAAATATTGTGCCAGCTTAAGATTAAGTTAGCACAACTTTTTATTATTTATCAAGTAATTTTAATTTCAATAACACCATAATTTTGTGCGTTTTTTGTGCAAATTATGTGCGGAATCAAAACTAAATTTGGTCAAATATATTCTTTTTAATTAAATATTAGGCCAGCTGAACGTAAAGTTAGCACAACTTTTTATTATTTGTTAAGTAATTTTAATTTCAATAACACCATAATTTTGTGCGTTTTTTGTGCAAATTATGTGCGAAATCAAAAATAAATTTGGTCAAATATATTCTTTTTAATTAATATTGTGCTGGCTTAACGTTAAGTTAGCACAACTGTTTATTATTTATCAAGTGATTTTAATTTCAATAACACCATAATTTTTTACATCATTCGGTAGTAACAAAATAGCACAAAATTGCGGTATTTATTTGATTGAAATTGCATAATAAATGATAGAGTTGCGCTAATTTGATATTTAAAATAGCACAATATTGATTTAAAAAGAATATATTTAACCAAATTGGTTTTTGATTCCACACATAATTTGCACAAAAAACGCACAAAGTTATGGTATTATTCAAATTAAAATTACTTAATAAATTATAAAGAGTTGTGCTAAATAAAACGTTAATCTAGCACAATATTTAATTAAAAAAGAATATATTTGACCAAATTTATTTTTGATTCCGCACATAATTTGCACAAAAAACGCACAAAATTATGGTGTTATCGAAATTAAAATTACTTGATAAATAATAAAAAGTTGTGCTAACTTACAAATAATTTATTAAAAAGAAATATATCTAATTTAAATCAGGCGAGCAACAAAGCTGTTAAGTTTTCCGCTGGGCGAACGATAAAGCTGTCACTTAATATTAATTCGCGGAAATCGTCAACTTTGCGGTCCCATATTTCGAATCGCAAAAGCCTACTTTGGATAGTGTTCGTAGAAAAATACTTTTATTATTTTGGAATTAAACTTTCGCCTTAAAATGTATTCTCATTATTACAAATCATTTATTAAAAAGAAATATTATTATATCTAATTTAAATCAGGCGAGCAACAAAGCTGTCAAGTTTTCCGCTGGGCAAGCGATAAAGCTGTCACTTAATTACAGTTCGCGAAAATCCTCAACTTTGAGGTCCCATATTTCGAATCGCAAAAGCTTACTTTGAATAGTAATCGTAGAAAAATACTTCTCAGGTTGTTCATTATTTAATCCTTATATTCCCCTTTCGTTCTTTTCGTACGCAATATAGGTAACTAATTTAAAATTATTCAATTTACAAACCTTCGAAACATTTTGATATTTTTAGGAGCTTCTCCTTTACACGTGGCTGTAATATTTGGAAACACCAGTATCGTGAGATACTTAGCAGGAAGGTTTCCGGAAACTCTCCAGGTGACTGACGATGAGGGAAAATCTCCGCTACATTATGCAGCAGTTCTTAACGATAACGGCCATTACTACAATCTTTTAATACATCTTGGAGCGGATATGAGAAATGAAGATAAGGCAAGTAAATCAATTTTTTGTAGAAGTGTATAGATACTCATAACTAATACACTGCGCGTCAGATAAAACGGGCCACCTAAAAAATTTACGAAATAATTCATCTTTTTAAATATATCTTATTTTTATAACAATAAATATATTGTGTGTTAAGTCAGTAATTGTTTTACCATGTTATTCGATGTTACCATAAGTCACAAACGAAAAGAAAGCAAAAAAATTGAGAAATCATAAATTTATTGAAAAATTACAGTTACAGTTTACTTTACGGCGTATTGCCACCCCAATTCTGGATGACACTTCTTATTCGATTTGGCATAGAAATCAGCAAGATCTGAATGTTTGCTTGAGGAAAAGTGGTGCATTCATCAATAAGGTCCAACTGAAGCTCTTCGAGTGTTGTTGTAACTGGTTTGCGACGTCTTACACGCCTTTTGAGCTGGTCCCAAGCATGCTCAATAGAATTAAGATCCAGGATTATAAGAGGCCAATCAATTTTGGGAATACCAACCTCTTCAAGGTAGTGTGTTACAATCCTTGCCGTGTGTGGTCGTGCGTTATCCTACATTAGCAGCAAATCGTTGCCAACAAATCCAGCTTATGGCATTACATGCTCTTCTAGGAGCTCTGTTACGTATTGTTGTGATGTTAATACGCCTCTAGCAATAATAAAGAGATCCGTGTGTGCCTCAAAAGAAATTCCTGTCCAAAACATTACTGAGACACCCCCAAAAGCAACTCGAGGTGACCGAGTACAGGCAGCATAACGTTCTCCAGCTCTTCTGTAAACCTTATTTCGGCCATCTCTTCCATATATGCACATTCTTCACTCATCCGTGAACAGTACATTTGTCCAATCGTCCCCTGTCCAATTCATGTGTTCGCGAGCAAAAGCAAGTCTGCGTCTTTTGTGTACTGCAGTAAGTAAGGGTCCAGTAGCTGGACTGCAAGCTGTCAAACCACTTTCTCTTAACCTTCGCCGAACAGTAGAAGTGCTGACTGCCGTTCCATGAGCTTGCTGAAGACTGCTTTGGAGCATTGTAGCAGTTTGGGTTCGGTCTCGTAAAGCAGCAATGGTGAGTAAAGCGATCTTCCTTGGCTGTTGTTTTTTTAGCACCTGTACCGGGTCGTTGGTGATAAGAGCCGGTCGGAAGAAACCGTTGATATGTTCTTTGAACAGTCGAACGACTCACATTTAATTTTCTCGCCACATTCCGTTGACTTGCTCCATTTTCCAATAATGTTACAATTTGAATAGCTCTTCGATATTTTTCACCCATTATTAAGGATTACATTTTACTCTATAAAGACCAATGTAGTACAAAAATAGCTTTAACACTCTTTAGAACACAATACAAGTTCATAAAGTTCTCAAAACTTAATTGACGGGTAAAAAAGTATTCTGATAAATTTTTTGGTTTACTCGGTTCCGAAAATTTGTTTATGATCTTTACAGGGTCGGTATGACTTCGCAAGTACGAAAACTAACTCGTTTTACGTAATTAAAAAATAATAGTCTAAGATCCGAAGTAAGGTCGACCTTCACCCATCTGTTTAATGGATGAAAGTTTCTTTTTAATAAATAAAATATTTTTATAAATATAGCGCAAAAGGTTTGCCTAAGAAAATACGGTCCAGGCTATTTATTTTCTTAAAATAAAAAAAATGTCACCCTGTAAAGTATTTCCCAGATGCTTCGACAATGCCTAAACTTTAATCAGCTTACCGCAGGATAGATTAAAGCTTAAGTTTAAAATTTGGTGTTTATCTCTTCATCCATTTTTGGGTTGTCTTCAAAATTCGAAATTTGCAGTTTTCCTCAAATATCTCGAATTAGGTCCATTTTAGGGAAATTATGTATAGGAACAAAATAATAGAGAATAGCATCATAAGTAACTTTTATCATGATTCCTATATTTTCCTTATCTGTACACAGAAAGGAAAGCAAAAAATGGCCCTGACCGTATTTTCTTAGGCAACCCATTTGCGGTATATTTAAAAACATATTTTATTTAATAAAAAAAACTTTTATCCATTAAACAGATGGGTGAAGGTCGACGTTACTTACGGATCCTGGACTATAAGAAACAACAAGATAAATAATTTCGTAAATTTTTTGGGTGGCCCGTTTTCTCTGACGCGCAGTGTAGTATGATACTAGAATGTGAAAAGCATAAAATATTTATTTTATATATGGCCATATTTTGTAACTGATCAAATATAAACAGGTCGAAACATATACTACCAACTAATACATTTTTTACCATACTTAAAATTCTCCATGAGTATTTTTGTATTAAATGAAGCGCTGAATACGCCAAAAAAATATAAATATTTTTTTAAGCGACTGTCCCAAAGCATAACATTTTACGAATTTTTTAACAATTTTACAGTCCCATATTTCCATTTCCTGTAACAGTAGGTACCTATTTTTTTCTTTTGATTACTGTAATGCGAGCCATTTTGTAATTTAGTCATGCCTAAATCCTCCAAGTCCCTCTCTTTTTTATTTGGCCTTTGAGGCTCAACTTTTTTGATTGTCATACATAATTAAACCTATTAAGACATATGTGATGACTATGACGAAGGCGCTTTCGATTACTATTCCAGAACGAACGGGATAATGTTACTAGTTTAAGCGAGAATATTCTAGACTTTCACCAGAATTTTAAATGTGTGTATAAATATTGGTAGAAAAACACAGTGCAGTCAGTCGTATACAAACAATTGTGAAGATAAATAGTGAACAATTTAAAGACATTTTAAATATATATAAATTAGAATAGTATTGTTTTAAAATTAATAAGTGTTCGAATAAATTATTAACAAATAAACTGTTATTTAAAATAGACAAACGTCACATTAACTAGCTGATTAAATAAATCAGTACTTATTATTAGGTGTACCGTTAGATAAAAGAGACCAGAGATATAGCATACACCTGTGTTTAACCTGCGCAAATATTGCCAATTTCTAAAGAAAGGTTAACGGAGTGGAGGAACTGGGCAGAGACCCGAACTCTGTGACAGGGACCGGACTTTGTTTATTAGCATCATAATGAACTATTAGATTTATTTAAAATATGTTTAATGGAATTTTGTATTATGAAATAAAATTAACGTGATTTTTTAATATCAAACAGATGCCACGACATTTTATGTAAAGGGAAGACCTTTTATAGAATATTTCATTAGCGTTTATTACTATGAACTTTTCAGCAAGAGACTACAGTAAAATGTTGAAATACAATATTGTTAATAGAGCAAGAAATGGTACTCATTGTCTACGAGTATTATAAAAAAAGCATGTGCGCAGGCGAATACTGCAAATCAAACCTTGTGAGTTGAATATTGTATTTTTTATATTTATATTATATATAATATTAAAAATTAGTCAAAATGAGAAAATGCTGTTTTGTATTGTAACCTCAGCCTCTTTCTTTGGGAATATTAATTAATATAGAGGATGAGTCACACAAAACTCTAAAAATGCATATGTCTGAAACCAGATAACATTTTAAAATTTAAACCTATTAAAATTCATTTGGTCGCTAGGGGTGGTTGATTATCGAAATAAATTATCGATCATTGAAAATAATCGATTATTTGCGATCGATCGATTATTCAAACAATTTATTGTTTGTCGTATTTTCTTTAAAATCGACTACTTGATTATCTTTGAAAAATCAAAAATAATCGATTAATTAAAAAGTCGATTAACTGATATATCGACTTTCAAAAAAAAAACGATTTATCGATTATTTTAAGTAATCGATTTTTTCGATCAATCGATTATTTTGAATAAATCTACTTTCTTTTTAAAATCGATTATTACATTATTTTAAAAAAACAAAAATAATTTATTAAAAATAATGGGTAAATCGATTTTCTTAAAAAAATATCAGAATAATCGATAAATCGATTATTTTTGTAATCCCTATCGGTCACTTGCTTTTATCCGAGCATTTAGCTCCAAAATTTAGATATTCGGATTTTTTGATCCCGTTATCTATGAAACCGCATTCGATTGTATAATAAATAATAAATATTGCTAGAATTTGGATTTAGTAAACGAAAATTTTGTTCGAGTTGTTTAGGGGTTTATAATGTAACATTTTATTAACATTGTGACTTTTAGTATTTTTTTGCTTATATTAGATCATATTGTGCGTTTTACTTTGTTTTAAGACTTAAGATTCAAATGCTAGCTAGAAACTATGCTTCTTTACTTTTTATTTATCTACCAAAAAGGGCGAAAAACCAACTTTAGTAAATATTCTTATAAAACTACTTTTTAAAAACAAAATTTCGTTAGCAACAATGCTCATTTACTTCTTATTTAAATTAAATGTTCAAAATTTTACCCTTTTGTATATTTATGTAAGTAATATGAAATCTGTTCTCTGAAATATGTATTTGATGCTTAATATTTATTAAAACCCCTTAATGCGGATCTGAAGTATTCAGCCCAAAGGATCATGGCGCTTTATGTCAAAACGTTAGTATTTACCGCTAAAAACGAATATATTTTTTATCTTTCATAACATTGGTACTTGTATTATAAGTATATACAATTTTTCAAGATACATCGTGGCATTTTGAACTTAAAATTGAATAACTAGAACACTTTAAATTGCTAAAAAACCAAGAAATATATCAAAAAACAGCTATCAATGGTGATTGAACTCAGGCGGAGGTGAGCGTTGAATGGAAAAATGGGAGCAATTCGGGTGGCGTCGTGCGAACAATGATTTTCAATTGGAGGGTTACTTGGGGTTGAAATAGACATCATGCGCAGTGTGCAATGTTACATCTTCGGTCTCTTTTATCTAAGGGTGTACCTAAAGATAAAGTAACTACTTCGAAACCAGTCGCTATTACTCGTAAATAACTTTTCATTCTATTTTATTATTAATTCCTACATCTCAGATAGCATCCCTCACCTTCAATGGTTTGTTAATTATTGTTTTGTTTGTTAGTTCGTTTTTGTTTCTTAAATAATAAAACACACAAAGACGAGACTGACTCTTTCCAATTCTACATTTTGAATTCATTATTGCCATTGTAATAGTCCAATTCGTCTCTATCGGTTTAACTCGGCGAGGTAGGGAGAGGGAGAGACAATAAATTGAACTACAATATTTTCGATACAGAATTAGGTCATCATAATTTTAGTACTACAGGCTGTTAGCATATTCGACTGACAACGTTTTACCCCAGAGTGCTCTCGTTAATCGATGGATTTTGATATAGGAAAATGAACCCTTAATGGGCTTATTTACTGAGATACAGGGTGTTAAAACTTTATAATCAAAATTCAAAATTTACTAAAAATAAAATACGTTTTTAAATCTTTTTTCAAAATTCATCAATTAACGAGAGGTCTCTGGAGTATAGCGTTGTTGGTGAAATATACTGTTACATCCTTGTGTCATACTAAACTCGCGAGGCATCCTAATGATATAGGGACTCTATGGGAACTTTTAATTGTGTAGATCCCATCATAAATTATTTGTAGATAAATGTAAAATTATTTATTGTAGATAAAGAACAATGACATGTCATGTATATTAAAAATATAAAAAGTCATAATGATAATCAATAGATCCGTGGTAACGGATGTTGCCAAGGAAGTGAATTTAACTTTCATCAAGGCTGCCAGTTAATGAAGGTTATCCGATAGTTGACAAGACAAGTGTGTGAAGTTCTAAGGTACGAATGTATGTAGTGCAATCGAGGCACTACAGACTCACTTTTGAATTTTGTTGAAACATAACGTTTTTTAAACTTCAAAGGGAAGCTGACTTTTTTGGTTCTCTTGCGGTGTTCCTATATAGATGAGTTATAATTTATTGCAACCATACTAACAAATACAGTAGGACCTCGATTATCCAAGGTAACGTGAGGGAAGCTGCATCGATAAACAAAAATCTAGGATAATACGTTATACGAGTGGGCGGCCAGGATTTCCCCGATGATTTTAAGTGAACATTCTATGAACGGATAATCAAACATACATAAATGATATATAAATAATTAATAAATAATACATAAATTATAGATAAATAATACATAGATAATACATAAAAAATACATAAAAAATACATAAAAAAATACATCAAAAATACATAAATAATACATAAATAATACAAAAATAATACATAAATAATACATAAATAATACATAAATTATACATAAATAATACATATATAATATATAAATAAGACATAACTAATACATAAATAATACATAAATATTACATAAATAAAACATAAATAAATGATGCATAAATTATACATACATAATCCATAAATAATACATAAATAATAGATAAATAATACATAAATAATACATAAATAATACATAAATAATACATAAATAATATATAAATAATACATAAATAATACATAAATAATACATAAATATTACATAAATAATACATAAATAATACATAAATAATACATAAATAATACATAAATAATACATAAATAATACATAAATAATACATAAATAATACATAAATAATACATAAATAATACATAAATAATACATAAATAATACATAAATAATACATAAATAATACATAAATAATACATAAATAATACATAAATAATACATAAATAATACATAAATAATACATAAATAATACATAAATAATACATAAATAATACATAAATAATACATAAATAATACATAAATAATACATAAATAATACATAAATAATACATAAATAATACATAAATAATACATAAATAATACATAAATAATACATTAATAATACATAAATAATACATAAATAATACATAAATAATACATAAATAATACATAAATAATACATAAATAATACATAAATAATACATAAATAATACATAAATAATACATAAATAATACATAAATAATACATAAATAATACATAAATAATACATAAATAATACATAAATAATACATAAATAATACATAAATAATACATAAATATTACATAAATAATACATAAATAATACATACATAATACATAAATAATACATAAATAATACATAAATAATACATAAATAGTACATAAATAATACATAAACATTTTAAAACCTTTGTTATATATATTTAGGTAACCTCTTCATAATAAAAAAAAATACATCCTGCAAAATATTACAAAAAAATAACTGTTTAATTTTTTACAGTTTGGATTTAATCCAGAATATTATAGAAAAAATCAACAAGATTTTAATCATAGGAGTCTGTTAAAAGATTTCGGTGCCGAAGGAGAAGAAGCTGATGAAATTTTAGCTGACAAAGGTAAGTTTAATGTAAAAAGAAGATAGTGGCTTTAGATTGTTTTTAAGAGAAATAAATGCTAAAAATTTTGGATCAGAAATGTGGGAAAATCCAAAATTTCCGCTTATTTTATTGTTGCAAAAGACTGGACCAGTTTTTAAGCGCTAACTAATTTCTTTAAGTTGCAATAATAAATTGTAATTAATAGCCTTAATGTGTGTTATAGACTGCTGCATGTACTAGAATCGGACGTACCCTAACATATTTTTCAATAAAATTTTTTAAATCAATATTTCTAATGAACATTAATGTTTTATACTGGTGATCTTAAGAATCCCTTAGCCAAATCTGCATTAATGTATCTTAAGTACATTTCTTTATTTTAGGGGGTGCTTATTTGGATAATTCAAATCTGAAACATGCATATTATAGATAAAATAACAAAATAGCGTCGATTCTCAAATTATCTAGCATTTATTAAGTAATATAATAAGCGGTCTGCTTAATTACCGATATTTTTTGAAATCTAAATCAACATGGCCAAAATGAAATGAATATGAAGAACAAGTTTTATTTTCCAAAGTTTGAGTCTGGTATATTTAAAAAGAGAAGATAATAATTATGATGATAACCATATTACAACTATTAACTGACATATTGATTTGTATAATACTATAGTGGACGTGCGTGAAGTTGGCCCTACCATGTTATGATAATTACACCAAAGTTGTACCAATATTTTGCAACTAATTTGCAACTTTAGGCAACCGGTATAAAAAAATTTGCAACCTTACATTTTAGTTCTAATCGTTAAAACAAACATCGTCGTAGTGACCTCAATTTTTGTTCATAATTTAGCAACTTTAGGCAACATTTGTGAAAAAATTTGCAACCTCGTGGTTACGCCGGAAGCGAATTGCTAAGTTGTTGGGGCTTAATTCACGCGGCCCCGTCACATCGTCGTATTGCCCTCGAACCTTTTTCATAATTTAGCAACTAATTTGCAACTTTAGGCAACCAGTATAAACAAATTTGCAATCTTACATTTTTGTTCTAATCGTTAAAACAAAATTGGTGGAGGCAAATTCACGCAGCTCCACCACATCGTCGTATTGACCTCGAACCTTCTTCATAATTTAGCAACTAATTTGCAACTTTAGGCAACCTTCGTGAAAAAATTTGCAACCTCGTGGTTACGCCAGAAACATATTCCTAAGTTGGTGGGGCCAAATTCACGCGGCCCTACCACATCGTCGTAGTGACCTCGAATTTTTTTCATAATTTAGCAACTAATTTGCAACTTTAGGCAACTTTTGTGAACAAATTTGCTACCTCGTGGTTACGCCGGAAGCAAATTTCTAAGTTGTTGGGGCTTAATTAACGCGGCCCCGTCACATCGTCGTATTGCCCTCGAACCTTTTTCATAATTTAGCAATTAATTTGCAACTTTGGGCAACCGGTATAAAAAAATTTGCATCCTTACATTTTGTTCTAATCGCTATAACAAAATTGGTGGGGCCAAATTCACGCAGCCCCACCACATCGTCGTATTGACCTCGAACATGTTTTATAATTTAGCAACTAATTTGCAACTTTAGGCAACCTTCGTGAAAAAATTTGCAACCTCGTGGTTACGCCAGAAACGAATTCCTAAGTTGGTGGGGCCAAATTCACGCGGTCCTACCACATCGTCGTAGTGACCTCAATTTGTTTTCATAATTTAGCAACTAATTTGCAACTTTATGCCACCTTCGTAAAAAAAATTGCAACCTCGTGGTTAAGTCGGAATCGAATTCCTAAGTTGGAAGGTGGGCCAAATTCACTCGGCCCCACCACATCGTCGTGTAGACCTGGAATTTTTTGGGGCCAACATCTTTTTCTTAATCTATTTTATTACATACTAATATATTATTAAAATTTATAGTTACAATATTACAGTTTTACTTTAATAAATTAAGATGGTGATATAAATATAAGCACCATGTGCATATATTGTAATATTTAGTAGGTACATTTTTGTATTTGATACGCAAATCATAATTAAACGAAACAAAATAAAATAAAATATAATTTAACATTTTAAGAGGAGCATATTCTTAAATATAAAGGATATAATGAATTTGGAAATGATTATTATTATCATCACAGAAACTAGGTAATATTAATAAAAATAATATTTTTATCGTTATAAATTATAATTTAATACTTTGAAAATTTGTATTATGGAATTCAATTTGTTAAGTCTAATATGTTCTGTTTTGTTTAATTATGATTGGCGTGTCAGATGCAAAAATGTTGGCCCCAAAAAATTCGAGGTCTATACGACGATGTGGTGGGGCCGCGTGAATTTGGCCCCCCTTCCAACCACGAGGTTTAAAATTTTTTCACGAAGGTTGCCTAAAGTTGCAAATTAGTTGCTAAATTATGAAAAAGGTTCGAGGTCAATACGACGATGTGGTGGGGCTGCGTGAATTTGGCCCCATCAACTTAAGGAGTCGTTTCCGGCGTAACCACGAGGTTGCAAATTTTTTCACGAAAGTTGCCTAAAGTTGCAAATTAGTTGCTAAATTATGAAAAAGGTTCGAGGTCAATACGACGATGTGGTGGGGCTGCGTGAATTTGGCCCCACCAATTTTGTTTTAGCGATTAGAACAAAAATGTAAGGTTGCAAATTTTTTTATACCGGTTGCCTAAAGTTGCAAATTATTTGCTAAATTATGAAAAAGGTTCGAGGTCAATACGACGATGTGGTGGGGCTGCGTGAATTTGGCCCTATCAACTTAAGGAGTCGTTTCCGGCGTAACCACGAGGTTGCAAATTTTTTTACGAAGGTTGCCTAAAGTTGCAAATTAGTTGCTAAATTATGAAAAAGGTTTGAGGTCAATACGACGATGTGGTGGGGCTGCGTGAATTTGGCCCCATCAACGTAAGGAGTCGTTTCCGGCGTAACCACGAGGTTGCAAATTTTTTTACGAAGGTTGCCTAAAGTTGCAAATTAGTTGCTAAATTATGAAAAAGGTTCGAGGTCAATACGACGATGTGGTGGGGCTGCGTGAATTTGGCCCCATCAACTTAAGGAGTCGTTTCCGGCGTAACCACAAGGTTGCAAATTTTTTCACGAAAGTTGCCTAAAGTTGCAAATTAGTTGCTAAATTATGAAAAAGGTTCGAGGTCAATACGACGATGTGGTGGGGCTGCGTGAATTTGTCCCCACCAATTTTGTTTTAGCGATTAGAACAAAAATGTAAGGTTGCAAATTTTTTTATACCGGTTGCCTAAAGTTGCAAATTATTTGCTAAATTATGAAAAAGGTTCGAGGTCAATACGACGATGTGGTGGGGCTGCGTGAATTTGGCCCCATCAACTTAAGGAGTCGTTTCCGGCGTAACCACAAGGTTGCAAATTTTTTCACGAAAGTTGCCTAAAGTTGCAAATTAGTTGCTAAATTATGAAAAAGGTTCGAGGTCAATACGACGATGTGGTGAAGCAGCGTGAATTTGTCCCCACCAATTTTGTTTTAGCGATTAGAACAAAAATGTAAGGTTGCAAATTTTTTTATACCGGTTGCCTAAAGTTGCAAATTATTTGCTAAATTATGAAAAAGGTTCGAGGTCAATACGACGATGTGGTGGGGCTGCGTGAATTTGGCCCCATCAACGTAAGGAGTCGTTTCCGGCGTAACCACGAGGTTGCAAATTTTTTTACGAAGGTTGCCTAAAGTTGCAAATTAGTTGCTAAATTATGAAAAAATGTTCGAGGTCAATACGACGATGTGGTGGGGCTGCGTGAATTTGGCCCCATAAACTTAAGGAGTCGTTTCCGGCGTAACCACGAGGTTGCAAATTTTTTTACAAAGGTTGCCTAAAGTTGCAAATTAGTTGCTAAATTATGAAAAAGGTTCGAGGTCAATACGACGATGTGGTGGGGCTGCGTGAATTTGGCCCCATCAACTTAAGGAGTCGTTTCCGGCGTAACCACGAGGTTGCAAATTTTTTCAAGAAGGTTGCCTAAAGTTGCAAAATAGTTGCTAAATTATGAAAAAGGTTCGAGGTCAATACGACGATGTGGTGGGGCTGCGTGAATTTGGCCCCACCAATTTTGTTTTAGCGATTAGAACTAAAATGTAAGGTTGCAAAATTTTTAAACCGGTTGCCTAAAGTTGCAAATTAATTGCAAAATATTGGTACAACTTTGGTGTAATTAACATAACATGGTAGGGCCAACTTCACGCACGTCTATAGTGGACGTATTTTTCAATACATTTTAATAACTCATTTACGAATATGATTATATCCCTGTATGTTTTATCTCAGCCAGGCATCGTACTCCTTCTACCATGGAGAGTATACAAAATGTATAAAATTAAGATGGCGCTTTTGTACTGGAAGGAACCCGACAGTCGATAATTCAGATTACAGAATGACGCCAAAATAGTAGTTATCGCAACAAGTGCTAGAAGCTGCACTTTGCACGAAACTACTTTACCCGCACGACGCGCAGCGGAGTGCGGGTAAGCAGGTGAGTGCGTAAAAGTGCTTCTAGCACGTGTTACGATCAACATTTTTTCTACAAGCGCATTTATTTCTAAAATAGAGAATTAACCTGTATAATGACATTAGGTACAACATACAGTTTAACTATACATATATTAAACCGATGTTATGTGCTGAATTGGTGTAGTGGTTAGTGTTTCGGGCTCATAACGCAAAGATCTTAGGTTCAAACCCGGGCATGGGCATATTGCTTTTTTTTTTATTTATATTTTATTTTTCTTATCAAAAAATGCGTGCGAGAAGATAAACTTCTCGAACTCGAAAGAGTGCGAGAAGATCATCTTCTCGCACGCTTGTAGAAAAATATTCTTACGATTATTCTCATCTCTGCGCATGGTGAAATTTTGTCAAAAAACTTAAAATCTTCATTGTTATCTGAGTCTCTATGCTGTACTAAAAATGTTTATTTCAGGGTAATTTTTTGTCTAATTCCAGTGGAATATTATAGAACAGCTTGTACAATGGGCA